TGTGGAATAAGTTTAGAAGGTAATTATCTAGTCAATTACTGTCGTAGAGTCCTGGAATTAAAGAATTAAATGTTTGATTGTTGAAACCCTTACTTCGTGGAATGCACTCATTTTAGATAAAATGAAACGTTTTATTTTATCTAAAGAATTAAACTTTATTTTGCAAATAGGTAGGTACTTATTAAATTTTTATTGGTTATATATAACCAATAAAATAAACATCTTACATTTCTTGCAAGTTCATTAGTACCTGTTAACCTCCATCACTCCGACAATGGCAACCTTATTTAGGGATTAGTAACCCTCACAACTATTGTATTCTATTCTGCTCCATACTTTATACCTGGTGGTCATACTCAATTTAAAATTGTTTTCCTATATACTTCTGTAAACTTGTTGACAAATATCTGTTTTTCATTGAGTCACCCGTATCAACAGGTTAGGCATTTGCATACATAATTTATTGTTTTATTACTCTCTCATACATAAAAATACACTATAGTATATACATTCAATTTTTGACATATTTACAATTTTTAATTTGAATACCTAAAACTACTTATAATTTAAATTTACAGGACGTTATGTATTCGTAGATACATTTTAATATCTGCTTATTAGTTGAAAAAATAATTGTATTCAAATTGACAGGTAATGGACAATTTAGCTCCTAAGTTTTTCATACATCATTTTGAAACTTTGTCTGTACTGTCCACACTCCAATAGAAGATGCTGCAGATCTCCCACTTACCACAGGAGCAATATGGGTTGTCAGTGAGGCCTATTCTGTGTTTGTATGCCGGAGTAAGTGCGTGGTTTGATCTTATTCGGTTTATTGTTTTTATAAATAACCTATTTGTTTCGTATTTGAACCATCTCTCATTGGGTATTAGTGGCAAGCTCTAAAGTTTATTCCAGTTGTACTTTGGTTGTATAAACGTTGCAATCTTTGTTTGCAGTTACTGATATTATCTATGTCTGCTACTGGAAGAAGTATGTTGTTTATATTATGTTTAGTTAAAGCTGCAGATTTAACTAATTTGTCGACTTCATCATTTCCTAATATTCCAGAGTGTCCTCTTACAAAACAAATAATAATCGAACTACCTGCGGAAATAATATGATAATGTAACTTCTTGATTTCTATCTCAATATGGTTTAAGTTTTTTGTGATTTTGATAGAAGTAAATTTGTCCATAATGCTTCTACAATCAGTCAGAATGATACAGTTATTCATACCAATAGAGGCAATATATTTTAACGCAAGAAATAAAGCTGATAGTTCGGCAGTATATATTGAAGCTTCATTGGGCAAACGACATGATTCTTTGTAATCAGAATTAAAGTGATACATTGCACAACCCGTTTTATTTTGAATTTTAGAGGCGTCAGTAAAAAATATATTGAAATGCAGGCCACTTATCTTTAATTATTTTGTTGATCATACTTCCTGGAAGATTTGTATCCATATAATATAATATGTTTCTATTATCTTAGATAAGAGAGTCTTAGGAGGTTGTGTATAAATTGGTGGTATTTATTTTGATACATTTGTTTTTCAAACATTGTCAATTTCCTGTAACTTTCAACGTATATGGGAGTTTTTTTGTTACGCCAATATTTATGGCTTAAGTCTGATATATTCGAGTTACGAATATTTTTTAAATAGCTGAAGTTTTTTGATATAGCTCTAGCTACAAACTTATCTGTACAAAACTGTCTGCGTAGTGTAAGGGGTAAATCTTTAGCTTCAATTTTAATAATACTAATAGGAGTAGATTTTAAGTACCCAAGACATAGCCTCAAACATTTTTTCTTTTGGGTTTCAATTTTATTAAGATGTCCTGTTGACGCAGACCCATATAAATGACAACTATAATCGAAAATTGGTGGAATCATTGAGCGATACTGGTTTTACAAAATGCTCTAAGGATATTCATTGAGTTTTCATCCGATTTTTTTATAATAGAATGAATTTTATCCTTCCATAACAGTTTACGATCCAAATATGTGTCTAGACATTGTACACAATTTTTGATTGGAAATTCTATTTTTCCTAATTTAAAGTTACCTTGAGGAGTTTGGCGTTTTTTGGAAAAAAAACAAATTTCAATCTTTGTAGTTGATATTGATATGCCTAGATAATGGTAATAATTTTTTACACAATCTAGTGTAGATTCGAGTTGACGCCTACAAATGTCAAGGGTAGTATGAGAGTTATACAACACAACATCATTTGCAAACTGCAATATATTAGAGTGTGGAGATACTATCTGATTTAGATCTATATTGTACAATGAAAACAGAAGTGGACTTAAAATACTACCCTATGGTATACCTATATTCGTTAGCCTTGGCGCTAAAAGTGTCTTATTTATTTTTAAGTAAGTCCATCTATTATTGCACAAGGATCTAATGAAATCTGAAATTTTAACTGGCATACCAAGACATAACAATTTTTTATGTAGAATATAAAAATTTATGTTATCAAATGCAGAGGTTACATCTATAAATGCTGCAGCTGTTGATTCTTGATTTGAGAAATTGACCCGAACAGAGGAAACTAGTGAAGTGAGAGCATCCTGTGTAGACCTGGATTTCCTGAGACCATATTGAGATTTGGGGAGGATATCTTCGGATTCAAGCCAGTATTCAAGCCGATTTTTGATTAATATCTCTAGAGTTTTTAGTATACAAGAACTTAAAGATATAGATCTGTAAGACTCAACGTTGTTATCTGGCTTTCCTGGCTTCTTTATAGGCAATACAATATAGTCCTTCCATGTTTTGGGAATTAAATTCTCATTTTGCCATATATTGTTAAAAATTTGTAATAATAATGATTTGTATTCTGTGGGTTAAAAATATAACATAGAGTATGATATACACTCCATCCCTGGACACGAACTATTATTTTGTTTGAGTCCATAATTTAATTCCCTCTATTCAAATGGTTTTTCTAGATTGGAGTATTCTCTGGAAGCGGTGACTGTAGCTTTGTTCATTTGGTTTGGTATCCAAAGAGGTGAAATTTTCAATTGGAAATCTTCTATCCATGCAGCTTCGCAGTTTATCGGGAGTTTATTGGACTGTTTTTGGTTTTTGTAGTGATGTACTTTGTTCCAGACGTCGCTGATTGGACTGTGGGAGTTAAGGCTTTCGCAGTAATTTATCCAACATTGTTTTTTTCTATTTTAAAAATTTTCTTTGCTAATGCATCCAATTTTTTATATTCAATTAAATTATGAATATTGAGATTTGTTTTATAACGCCTGTAGGCTGTTTTACAATTATTTGCAGCTGTTTCGCAATTATTATCCCACCATGGTTTTGAAATATTTTCTGTAGGATATATTTTATTTTTTGATATTTTTGGAATAGCAATGGATGCGCATATGTTTAGTTCATTAACTAATTCTTCATAAGTTTGAGGAAGTATTTCTGAAAAGTTGGACGAATACAAATTCCAATTTGCTTTATTTAGATTCCATCTTTTTTGTGTATTGTTACCAGGTGGTGTTGCTCGTTTGGAATTTTCCAAGGATATCAGCAAGGTTAGATGGTCAGAACCATGTGGATCTTGAATAACAGACCAAGTTAATTTAGATAAAATGTCTTGGGTTCAAATTGTTATGTCGATTGCTGATGGACTGGAACTCAGTGCAAGTGTTGGAGATCCATCATTTAAGTATAATAAATTACATTGTTCTATCGCCTCTTATAAAACTTTACCATGAGTATCATTAGTTTCGCATCCCCATGCCATATTGTGAGCGTTGAAGTCCCCTTCAATGATAAATGGCCGAGGAATGTGTTGAAAAAAAGGGATCCGTTCTTCAACTGTTACTCTAATACGTGGTTCTTTGTATATGAATGTTATATGTATAGGTTTATTGATACAAGAAAGTTTAACAGCGATGCATGTGTAAGTAAAATTATAGTTATCTAATAATTTTATTTCTTCTGCAAATATTTTATCTTTAATTGTTCCATGTCGAGGCATTTTGTTGACATCCAGTTTTTTTTTCGCCTTCCTGTACTTTTTTACAATGATTTTATTGATTCGTTTGTATTCTAGTGGGATTGTTTTAGGTTTTTGCCTTATGTCCACGAGGTCCATGATCTCTTGCTTTATCCATTCTTGTTTTTTGTTGTGTTTTATGAATCCGATGACTTCTTTTTGTATCTTTGTTATTTTTGTTTTTAGAGCAGTCCATGTTACTTCAATATCTATATATACCAAGTTTTCGATATATAATTTCTGGGCCTCCATTCCATAATACGTTTTGGACAAGACGTATTATGGAATGGAGGCCCAGAAATTATAAAAGAAGCCGAGGACGACCACCGACTAGATGGACCGATGACATTAAACATGTAGCGGGAAACTGGCTACAAGCGGCCCAGTGTAGAGAACACTGGAAAGAATTGAGGGAGGCCTATGTCCAGCAGTGGACGCGATTGGCTGATTGATGATGAAGTTTTCGATCGTTTTTATTTCTTCCACAAGCTTGATTCTTATATCCCTTTTCTGTCCAGGGTTCTTCTGTTGTGAGACGTCTATTTTTCTTGTCACTGTTTTCATTTTGACTTTGAGAAATCTTTTTAATCTAAAATCCATTATAACCGAATTGTGATCGCTATGTATATTAGCTTCAGGGTAAGTTTTCGTAGATTGTATGTACTTCTTAAAGGTGTTATTGAGAAAAATGAAGTCAATTTGATCTCTAACAATTCTGTCTTTTCTGTCTGCAGGTGATTTCCATGTGAATAGCCTTCTGAGTTTTACTTAGACCAGAATTACTATTATTTTTTACAATCGTTATATTATGTACAATCTATTAGTAAACAAATTATTATATTGAGTTGAATAAAAGGTGCTTAAAAATTATATAGCAGTTAATAAAGAATAAATATAAAGTTAACGTTAAAAAATATAATGTTAATAATGTCTTCTAAATAGTTTATTTTGCCTGTAAAAATATTTGTTTTAATTCTAGAATCAGTGGTCAGAAGGACTTTCGTCAAAGCTGCACATTTCAAATGCTCACATTTCGGATTCTGGAAACTACTCGTGTGTACCAACCATCGCTGGATCGACTAGTGTAAACGTACATGTTATTAACGGTAAGTTAGACTTAGGATATATGTAGATATATAAAAAAGCTTTACAAATAAGAACCAAGCAATGAATGAGTTTTATTTCCCTCTGAATTACTAGTTAGTTATTTATTATTATAAGCTTTTATTAATTTTAAAATTAATTCTTATTTATGTGCTATAAAACTATAAGTAAACTTTTAATGTAATAAAGATTAATATATTTTCGATACCCCCTGTATTTCCGGTTTGTAAACTCTGAAATACGATATTCGCCATACAAGCAGTTCCGAAACTTATTTGTTTGATTGGACTTATTTCTCATTAACTGTGCTCTATTATCAAAACCGTCGTCGTGAAAATGGTTTTCACGACTGTGGAGAAAGTGTTTAATAGAGCATTATTTCCGCTCATACGGAAATGAATGAAATAATGGTCCAAGTTTGAAACAAGTCTCTGAAAAATATCAAAAACTGTTTAACAAGGCGGTCCTAGTAAAAGAGTAATGTTAGCAATCGTTGAGATATTAGAAACACTGATATTGTGTTGTGTCAGCGCAAGGGCTCTTTCTGTTATCTGAAAACAGTTTTTACCAACAGAAATCTTACAGTCTCCAAGTAGAAGCTTTCGACGTACTGCGTATAAATGAATATTAGTCAAACATCTATATATTAAGTATTCAAGTCTCTTGGTGGTTATCCTTACTGTCCTCTTATAATGCCGTCTCCCTTTGGAGGTTGGTAATCATAATGGCTATTTTTATTTTAGAACTTGCTGCTCTAAACAAATCAGTCGATCTGCATTGATACCAATCACGTAGATTCTTTAACCATGAGCTCTGCCTTTGGCCAACAGATCTTCTTCCTTGAATCTGCCTGTATTATAAGTCATAAAATTTCATATTTTGGACCCCTCATCACGTGGCCTAGGTATTCCAGGTTTCTGGTTTGTAAAGTGGTGATTAGTTCTGTTTTTTTTTCAACCAACTCTGTTTTTTCTTACCAACCCTCTCCAGTACTTCTTTATTTGTAATTCTATCAGTCCATGATATTTTTAATACTCTGAGGTATAACCAGAGTTCGAATGACTCGATTCTTTTTAAATTGCATTTTTTAAAAGTCTCAGCTCCATATAATAATATTAAAAATATATAATAGCCAATGGTACGTAGTCTGATCTCCAAATTTAGATTTTTGCACGTTAGGAGTGGCTTCATTGCTATAAATGCTGATCTGGCAATCTCTATTCGCCTGTTTATTTCTACAGTATGATCATTGGATTCGTTGATCAAAGTTCCCAAGTACTGATATTTTTCTACTTGTTCTATCACGTTACCATTGATTGTCAATAGGTGATGTATATTTTGTGGTCTTCTTGTAATTAGCATGTACTTCGTTTTTTTTAGCGTTTATAGTAATTCCCATCTCAGCACTATTCATACTCAAGCTTTCGATAAAATGTTGTAGATCCTCTATACTCGTTGCTATGATCACAGTGTCGTCTGCATATCGTAAGTTGTTAATTAATTTTCTGTTAACGGTGACTCCCGCTTTATTATTGATCGTGTTTTGGAAAATTTCTTCATGATATAAGTTAAACAAAAGTGGCGATAAAACACATCCCTGTCTAACTCCTCTACATATCTTCATTTCTTCTGAGTGTTGCCCATCAATTAGAACTATAGCACTTTGGTTCCAATATAACGTTCGCACAATATTTATTATTTTACCGTCAATGCGCTTGTTTAAGTATTGATATGATATTTGAAGCACAAATGTAGATCAACGGTTACATCCAGACATCGCTGAATCAATATGTTGATGGCAAATAGTCCTTCTTGAGTACCCATTCCATTTCGGAATAGTCTCTTATGTATTATTTTCAGCAGTACTTTTAAAGTATGACTCATGAAGCTCAGTGTTCGATAATCAGAGCACTCTTTTGTTGCTTGTTTTTAGGGATGGTTATAAATGCTGACTTCAGCCACTTTTGTGGTATTATTCTTGTATGTTACACCGTGTTGAATAAATCTGCCAATACTTCTAAGTTATTCTGTTCCACTAGTTTTAACAGTTCTACTGATATTTCATCTAATCCAGCTGCCTTATTGTCTTTAGAGTTTTTGATAGCATATTTGATTTCATCTATCGTGATCTTCTGTCTCTTTAAAGGATTTAATTCTTGTATTTTCTGCATTTCACCTCGAACATCTAGGAAAAGTTCTCTAATGTGTTCTCTCCTTTTTTGTCTTTTATGTGTCCTTGCTGTCTATTTCGACCCACTTCAGTCACTTCTCTTATTTTTTTGTACATATTTGTCACATGATATTTTGTTTCTAGTTCTTATATCTCTTTACATTGTTTCATTAAATAGATTTTCTTAGCTGTTTTGATTTTTTCCTTAATTATTCCTTACTGTACCTTATCCTTACTGTACAGTAAGTTTACTGTGTACTGTTGACTCTAGTGTAAAAAGATTCTGATATCTTGGGAAATGTATGTGGTTTTCAAACAAAAGTCACATTCATCTTATCGAATATAGCAATAGACAAACAACGTGATTTGTTCTTCTTAAAATTTAACGCCCATATGTCATTGCAGAGAAACTAGTCCACAGTGATTTACTAACTTGTATACCTTTAACCTGGGAGCGAGGAATGCCCTGTTCGCTGTAAATGTACTTGTGCAAAGAAAACATGAGAGTTACCAACACATGGTTCCAACTCCACCCCCGTCGCCTTTATACTTGGAAATCTCCAGCCGATAGAGCTTAGAACATAATAAGAAATCAGATAGACTTCATTCTTATCAACGGTAAATTCAGCACAACTGTCAAAAGAGCTTGCACATACCCTAGAGCAGATGTCCCTTCTGACCACGTACTATTAGTGGCAGTCATAAAGATCGCTCTTTCATGCAAGAACAAGCCTGAAACTCAACAACAGATAGCATGGATAAAATGAAAAACTCAATGATACAAGCAGAAATAAGCAATGAAATAAACGCACAAATTCAAATATTGACGAAAAACATTACCAAAGATCTAACACCAACATGGAATACGATTACAAGTGCTGTAACAGACATCATGAAAAACAACTTAGGGTACAAACGAAATAACAAGAGGCAAAAATGGATCACAGAAGAAATACTATTACTAACGGAAGAACGACGAAGACACAAGAATGACCAAGATGGCAGCAATATGTATGAACACATTAACAGGCAAATAAAAGCAAAAATAAGTATAGCAAAAAATGAATGGCTTTAGCAACAATGTATCGATCTAGAACATTTACAACGACAGCACGACGACCGTAATTTACATAAAAAGCTTAAGGAGACTGCTGGAATATACAGAAAACGAAGACCAACTACCATAGTTAATCAGGATAACCAGATAGTGCTGGGTGAAAAGGAGAAAATTGATATATGGGAAAAGTATATCCAGGAGCTCTTCCATGACGAAAGACCCATGAGTGAAGTTTATACCGACGACCAGCTGACTGGCCCTTCAATTACCAAAGAGGAGATAGAAAAGGCAATATTATATTCAAAAAACAATAAGGCATCTGGACCAGATGAAATCCCGTCAGAAATACTCAAATTACTAGATGAAGGGGTATTTCAGCACTACACAAAATATTTAATTTAATTTATGAAACTGGCTGCTATCCTCAACAGTGGTTACGCTCTACCTTTATTCCCCTGCCCAAGAAAGTCAATGCAAAAAGATGTGAGGATTATAGACTCATTAGCCTGATGAGTCACACAAGATAAAAATACGTTTATTGACGTTTCAATTTCCACTTCGGAAATTGTTCTCAAAATACAAACAGTAAATTTTAATTTTAAATAAAAGAATTTACTGTTTGTATTTTGAGAACGATTTCCGAAGTGGAAATTGAAACGTCAATAAACGTATTTTTATCATTAATTGTGGCTTATTCCACGTTTAATAGTAATTAATTTACAATGCCACAAGAAAATAGCTTCAGAACAATACATCAAAGATTATACAAAAAATGTGAATGGGACATCAGTGATTCCCAGTTCGGGTTTAGGCAAAGTTTAGGAACACGAGAAGCAATAGTAGCAACACAGGTGCTGGTCCAAAATTGTTACGATCAGAGGAAGGATGTGTTCCTATGTTTTTTGAAATACCAAAAAGCCTTTGATAGTGTCCAACACCACAAGTTAATGCAGATTCTCAAGAAAGTTGATATAGACCAAAAAGACATAAGGTGCATTGAAAACTTGTACTGGCATCAAACGGCACAATTAAAAATAGACAATTCTATATCCAAATCCATACATATAAGAAGAGGCGTTCGACCGGGATGTGTGCTTGCCCCTCTTTTATTTAACATTTATTCGGAAGCCATATTTGAAGAGTCTTTAGAGGATGCAGAGATGGGAATCAAGGTGAATGGAGTATTGATCAACAACATACGATATGCTGATGATGATGTCTTAATTTGTGACAACATAGTCGATCTTCAACAACTTGTCACTATAATCGGAGAATACAGTAAGAGAATGGGATTAGAGATTAATACCAAAAAGACCAAATTTATGCTCATCTCAAGAAACTTAGATGCATTTGAAAATTCCACCATAACACTGAATACTAAGTTCATTGAAAGAGTGAGTAAATTTAAATACCTGGGATCGTGGCTTTTTGAAGACTGGGCATCGGACAGGGAAGTAAAATGTCGCATTGAGCAAGCTCGACAAGCTTTCGTAAAATTCAAGAAAGTACTGACTTGTTTAGAGTTTGATCTTCAACTGAGACTAATGTTTACTAAGTGCTACGTATGGTCAGTGCTGCTATATGGCGTAGAGGGCTGGACACTCAAAACGAGGGATATAAACAGATTAGAAGCTTTCGAAATGTGGCTTTCTCGCCGTATCCTAAAAATACCATGGACAGCGAAAATCACAAATATAGATGTTCTTAAAAGAATAAACCAAGAACGCCAACTTTTCGAAACCATCAAGAAAAGGAAAACGGCGTATCTAGGTCAC